GAGACTGAGAGAGAGAGAGAGAGAGAAAAAAGCTGTTTTATACGCGCTAAAAAAATTTTTTTTTAAACAAATAAGCTCGGATTTAAATAATTTGAAAACGTTTTTTTTTTGCATTCTAGTGACACGACAAAAAAATGTCATTTTCTGTTGTTGTATTCATTGTCACGAATCTCTGGGATTTAAAAAAAATTCAAGTTACCTTAATTGTTATTTAATATTTAAAAAAAAAAAAAGGGGAAGAAAAAAGAAAAACTGGAAAATTTTTTTTACTAATTACCTTTCCAGGCGTCGTGCCGTCCATTTTGATATTCATGTCAATTGCTGGAAACATTTTGGTCGTACTCGCCATATACACGGATCGAGGTCTTCGACGGATCGGAAATCTTTTCCTCGCGAGTTTGGCCATAGCCGACTTATTTGTCGCCAGTTTGGTAATGACATTTGCCGTCGCAAACGATTTATTAAAATATTGGGTTTTCGGTTCGCAATTTTGCGACACTTGGATCGCATTCGACGTCATGTGTTCGACTGCAAGCATATTAAATTTGTGCGTCATTTCGTTAGATAGATACATACACATAAAGGATCCACTCAGGTGAGTTTTTCCCACCCTTTTTTAATCGTTTAAAACCTTCCCTAATTTGACCTTTGACCTTCCTTTTGTTGTCATTATTTCGTTTTAGCATCATCGGGTAATTTAAAATAATCTATACTAAATAATATTTATAAAAAAATTCACACGCTCACCATTTTGTTTGTTGCTGATGACGATAATAAAATCCACTTTAGCCTTGTTTCGCTTCCGGTTAATCGCACTCAGATACACTTTCGTGGGAGACAAAGCTTTTCTTTAGTTTTTTAATCTTATTACAGATACGGAAGATGGGTGACGAGAAAAGTCGCTTTAGGCTCGATAGCGGCCATATGGATATTAGCCGCACTAGTATCTTTTCTTCCAATATCCCTGGGGATTCACACGTCGCAAGATCCCTGGGAATACACGGAATCAGGTGTCAAATATTACACGTGTGCAATGGATTTACTTCCAATATATGCGGTCCTTTCGAGCTGCATAAGTTTTTACATTCCGACTTTAGTAAGATTTATTTACTCTTGGCCATCACTCCGAATGATCTGTTTAAATAATAATAATAATAATAATAACGTATTATTTTCAGGTTATGTTAGGCATATATTTAAGATTGTACATGTATGCTCAAAAACATGTAAAAAGTATACGGGCCGTAACAAAGCCATTTAATAATTCAAATCATTCATCGGATCAACCTCACGCGGTGAGTTTCGAGTTTTTTTTTTTTTTTTTTTTTTTCTTTCTAGAAACAAATCGAAATTTAAAGAAGAAAAAAATAATAAATATAAATACTTACAGATCGCAGCCAAACTCAACGCCCAAAATTCAAGTGCATATCACGTGTCTGATCATAAAGCAGCCATAACCGTAGGAATCATAATGGGTGTATTTCTCGTTTGTTGGGTTCCTTTTTTTTGCGTCAACATCGTTGCTGCTTTTTGCAAACATTGCATTCCGACGGATGTTTTCAAGGTAAATCAACGAATCGTAGGTACAAAACCTGAAAATATAAAAGGGGGAGGAGAGGGAAATGTGATAAAAATAATAACGTACGTGTTCACCCAGGTACTCACGTGGTTGGGATATTCGAATTCGGCATTTAATCCCGTCATATATTCTATATTCAACACGGAATTTCGTGAAGCTTTTAAAAAAATATTAACGACAAATTATGCCGGATATTGTTGGAACGATAGAAGGTATTCGAAAAAAACTTATTTCCCCGTCTGGAAAATGATGTAATAATTAATTGCTCCCTTTAAAAATTTGTTTACAGGTCGGAGTTTGGTTATCGCAGCAGGAAAAGCACTGACGAATATTTCGGAGTGAGAAATTCGTGTGAAAAATTAAGAAAAAATGGTTCTTGCACGCAAATAAAAGAATGTTCGAGTTCCGGATCACCCAGACAAGTGAGAGTATCATCGACGGATAAGGGAGTACGTTAAATTTCAAAACAAACAAACAAAAACAAACAAATATTAAATCATAATAATAATAATAATATTACAGATGATGATCGATACGTCAAGCGAAGCAACAGTATGACCATGCCTGAAAAGAAAAGAAACAGCTGTTTAATTAATGACGTCATTCTTTTAAAAAAATATATATATACATACAAACAACAACGAATATTTTTCTCGTCGGCCAAGTGTTTATCAAAAAAAGAAAACTTTCGAGAAAAATATTAATAATAATTGTATAAAAAAAAAAAAAAAATTACAAAATGTCTGTCTGTCTGTCTATTTCTCGGTTTCTTTTTCTTACAACCCTTTCCCCCCCTACCTCCCCCAATATAAAAATTTAATTTTGAAAAAGCTTTAAAAAATTTTCCTTTTTTCGTCGTGCCAATAGAATAATTATTTATTATGAATTTTTTTTTTTTTTTTTTTGTTAAATATACCATCCAAAGATTCGTGCGCTTTATGAGTACCTGATAATTATTATTATTATTATTATTATTTTCATTAAAACCCGTCCATTTTGTTTTTTTTTTTTTTTTTTAATTTAATAATAAAGTTGTGACCTTTACTAATATATAATTTGTTTGTTTTGTAAAATTCTGTTAATGTTCAAAAAAAAAAAAAAAAATAAATGTTAAATTTCTATTCTCAAGTCTTCCTACTTTATTACAATCGATCCTGTTTGTTTTTGTTTGTTTTCTGACTTTTTTTTTTTTAAAAAAAAAAAAAAAGCAATATTATTTTAGTGAAATATATATATATATACTTGATCTTTAAATAAATGTTAATTTTATGTTACCAAATAATAATAATAATAATTTTTAATTATTTAGATTTGTAAATAATTTAAACAAACAAACAAACAAACAAAACATAAATAAAAAATGTCTTTGCTCATTAATAAATTGAAAAAAAAATTTTTTTTTTTTCCTTTCAAATAAAAAAAAAAATTTCCTTATTGATACAAATTAAATCAACAAACAAACAAACAAACAAACAAACGGAAAACAATAAAATTAAATACAAATCATTCACGTCACATTTTATTTGTTTGTTTTCAAATTAATTAAACGTAATAATTTAATTAAAATTAATTATTTATTATTTATTATTATTATTAGCACAACATTTATATTAATTTTCCTTAAATAACTTTAAACAATAAATAAATAAATAATAATAATAATAATCAATCACAATATAAATAATTATCATTTTTATAATTACATAATAATAATATTATTATTATCGATTCGAAACAAACAAAAATAAATAAATAAATAAATATTATTTCTATAATAGAATATTCTTCGACATTAAGATAAATTTTTCATCGTTAAAACATTTCCTTTATCATTATCATTATTATTATTATTATTTTAATAAGTTTTTATTTATTTTATTTTTTTTTTTTAGGAAAATAGATATATATATATATAATCAAACATTTTTAAAACTCAATACATTAATTCTAAGCAAAGAGAAACGACAGAGTTCCTTTCAAAAGTGATAATAATAATAATAATAATAATAATAATAATAATAATAATAATAATACTGATTTTTCAAATTCCGACGATTTAAGGAATATCATTTAACAAATCATTGACCGTTAAATTCGTGATAAAAATGAAATCAGCGAATTGTTTGCGACATGTGAATGGGAGTCAACATGAGTTCGAAAGCGGCATCTTTTAAATTGGCTCCCCGAAGATTTGCTTCTTGAAGATCCGAACCGGAAAGATCACATTTCTGCGAGAAAAATAAAAAAAAAATTTTAATCCCATTATTATTATTATTATTATTATTAAGGTTTTGCACGTGGAAACATTTTTTTTTTTTTTTTAAATTTTACCTCCAAATCGGCTCCGGCAAGTACTGCGGCTCTCAAATCGCAATTTTGTAAATTGGCATTTTTCAATGTGGCAACTCTTAAATTGACTCCGGCCATATTGCTGCACTCCAAATTGGCACCTTTTAAATTCACCCCTGGAAAATTTTTTTTTTTTTTTTTTTTTTTTCACGTATAAATACATTTTTTACACGAACGATGAAAATAATACGAAAATCTTTATTACCCTCCATATTTGTTCGCACTCCCGTGGGATCTTGGAAATTGCAACCTCTTAAATTTGCACCCTCCAAATTGGCACAAAGCATTTGTACACCCATTAATTGTGCCGATTCCATAACCGCATGTGAAAGATCTGCTCTTTCCAAACAGCAAAAACTTAAATTCGCACCAACCATTCGGCAACCGTGTAAACAAGCATACTAATAGAAAAAAAAAAAAAAAAAAAAATTTTGTTTTATCATTTCATAATTACTCCATCATTAAAAAAAAAAAAAAAAATTACTTTAAAGTTAATATTTCTCAAATCAAGTCTGGACAAATCGCTTCCTGCCAAATTAACACCTTGAAATCTTAAATCTGCTGTTGATGAAGTTGTTATCAATGCATTGATAACATCTCTTCGAGTTAATGGTGCAATGTCTTGAGATCTTTGTTGTGTCGATATAAGATTTTCTAAATGTTCAACAAGTGATTCGATTCTAAAAAACCGAGCTTCTTGTAAAATACCTGAATTTAAAAAAAAAAAAGGTACTTCCATTAAACACCATTCTACCATAATTAAACATCCGATTTGATAACACATTTCACACCTGCCGGATTTACATTCGTATCGAATATTAATTGACCGTTTCTCAAATAATTAAGAATGGGTTCGAAATATGTCGGACTCCTATCGATTAAATATGCTCCATTTACATCGAGATCGCTTGGAGTCATTAAATATCCATCTTCATCTTGGGCAAACATTCTAAAAAATTAAAAATAAATGACTCCATTTTCTTTCTTAACAAATATAAATGCTACATAAATTTACAAATGATGATTACATTACCTTGCCAACATACTCGTAGGTTCTTTGGTCACTAATGTACTCCTACTGGTTGTAAATATTTTTCCTCCGACATTTAATTTCACCCATTCTTGAAGTTTGTTAACATCTTTTTTTCTTTTATAATCTAAACTTGATGTTCTTGCTAATGTTGAACATGTCGAAGAGCCTTTGGCATCGCAATCTAAAACTTCATTTTGACTCGAATCTATTTTTTATAAAAAAGAGAATATCGATATTGTTACGACAAACATTCAAAGAGCAATTTATGATTGAGTAACATGAATGCAAATTAAAAGTAACTTACCAATGTTTGAATTGAATGCTGTCAAAACATTTGTACCATATTTATTACTATCATATGTATTTGATTTTTGTTTGAAGCAATCGCAATCGTTTTTAACAGGATCTCTCAAAACGGTATTCAATGCATAATTCCCTTTGTTTTCCTCGAGTTTAATAAAATCTTCATTTTCTTTAGTGACATATAAAACGTCATCATCTCTAATTAATTTAATATCATCAATTTCTCCACCTTGAGGTGTGAATATTTTTTTAGCACTGATTCCAAATTTTTGTGATGCCGTTTTTAATAAATCATCCAAAGAGTGAGTGACAAGAACGACCTAAATGAAAATATACACACACACTTAATATTGTAAAAAAAATAACAAAAAAAAATTTAATAAAAATAATGAAGAAGATAATTAATCAATAATAAAATGTTTTTAAAATAACGAATTGAAAATAATAACAACAAACCTTTCCATCGACCAAACTTCCATTTCGAAATAAAACAACTCGTTTCATTTCTTATTTAAATATAAATACAAAAAAAAAATTTAAATTTTATTAATTTTTTCTTATCGAATTCAATTATAATAAAACGTCAAACGAATAAAAAAAAAAAAAGAAAAAAAAGAAAAAAACTTTTTCCACTTAAAAAAATCTCAAATCGATAAAACCAAATGTAAACGCATGCATTTTGACGTCATTGTTTAAGAATTGCCAACTTTGAAAAAAAAAAAAAACTGTAATAACGATTTGACGCATTATCTAAAAACCGGAAATGAATATTTTCATTTGTTTCAATTACTTTTTTTTGTTTTATTTAAATTTAAAGTTATTAATCTTTTCTTTCGGGGGTATTTTGTAAACAAAATAAAATTCAACCCCCTTTAATTATTATTATTAATTTCACTTGTTCTTATGTAAACTTATTAAATTTTAAATAATTATTTAATTAGTTCATTCCATTAAATAAACTTATTAAAGTTTATTAATACATAACCGATTTTCAATCGATAAATCAAATTAATTAATGTCTCCACCTATTAATTAATTAATTAAAATATCTTATTATGTAAAACAAATTATTAATAATAATAATAATTTTATTAAAAAATGAAATAATTTTAATTAAAAATAAGAGAGAAAAAAAAATCAAGTTTATTTATTATATACAAATTTGAAACAAAAGAAAATAAGATATTATAATCCAAGGCTTCTATTATTATTATCATTAACAGTTTTTTTTTCAATTTTTAAATTCGATTCCGAAGAATTCAATCATTCATTCATTCGCCATTTTTTTTTTTTATGTACATTATTAAACTAAACGGCTTAAATAAATATTTATAAAGTCTTTCATTGATTTTAATAAGTATATACGAATTAGACTTTGAACAAAATACAAATAGAGATTTAATACACTTTATTATTATTATTATTATTTTCATTTATTACGATTACGAAATTGTTGCTGTTGCCATTTTTGAGTTGTTATGCAATGTTGAAAAGTCAATCTCCAAAATGCCGTTCGAAAGTCAACACTGTAAAATGCATAAATGAATGGATTTATCGCCGAATTAAACCAACCTGTAAGAAATATTATTATTATTATTATTATTTACATAACAAAATTCGAACGTTGAGAATTTCGTGAATGATTTCCGTTACCCAGCCAAGTGAGTAAAGACCACAACAAATTCGGAATCGTGCAATCGGGTAAAAATGGCGCCATTAAATAAGTAATAAAAAATGGAAGCCAACAAGCGACGAAACCTCCCACGACGATTGTTAACGTTTGTGTTGTTTTACTTTCTCTTCTAAACGACGACACTCTGCTCGACGAACTGTATTTTAAATCTTTAATAAAAATAAATAAATTAATTAATTAATAAATACGCTTCAAACGATTCCTCCTTCTAACACTCACTACAAGATTGTTCTCCAGTTTGTGTCAGATGATCCATTGTAATGCCACCCTGTGGCCTTCCCGCCGTACGATTCATGTTTCCATAATAATTTCCTTTTCCTGTTGTATGACTGCTGCTGCTGCTGCTGCATAATTCCGTACTCACCGAATGATTATTTTGATTATTATGATAAGAATAATGTGATCTTATAGATCTCTGATTATGATTATGATGATGATGATGGTGATGATGAGTTCCAGACGTCGTAGTTGTCGACGTTATGGTATATTGACTATGTTCGCTATTACTCAGACTATAATAATAATAATAATAATATTATATTTACATTTAACGACATTTTTCCCCTTCTTTCTTATCGTTAAATATATACCTCGTGCTTTTCATTATCGGATTGTGATGACATTTATCATCGTCGTTAAATGAACGTTCCATGTAATCCGATTCATCATTGTAGGATATGAATTTTTGATTTTTCTGGAAAAAAAAAAAAAATTTAAAACTAATTTTCTCTCTTAAATTAAATTTTTTTTCCGTTTAAATATATTTGGCAACAGTGTGTGCACATCACTCTGTTCTTACAGCAGAAGACAATTATCACGAGTCGAAAAAAATTCATTTTCCAAAACGATACCTTAAAAAAAAAAATTTAATATTTTCCAGGAATCCTTAAAAAAAAAAAAAAAAATGGCGACTGAAAAAATTTTTAAGTTTTCTTTTCACCTTTTCACCCTTTTTTTTCCTATAAATCAATAAATTTTCTTAAAGTTACAAAAAAATGAAACCGGAAATGAAAAACATAACGAGTTTTCATTTCCTGTTTGAATTTTATACACACATACATATGAAAACGTTTTCAATAAATTATTTATTAATTATTTCATCGGATATTATTAATTAATTAATTAATTAATTAATCGTATTTGTTAATGTCGTACAGGAAGAAACCTTTAAAAGATTTATACAATATTATTATTATTATCATTATCGACCTGGAAATTTATTCGTTCGTTTTTCGTAACGCATTCTTCCTGTTTGTCGATACAAGATGGCGGCGTATCGGGATGATCGTTCGTTTAAAGTCTAAATTAAATCCTTACAAATTTTAAAAAGGTTTAACTCCTCTCTCTCTCTCTCTTTCTCTTTCCCTCTCTCTCTTTTTCTTTCCCTCTCCCTCTCTCTCTCTTTCTCTTTCCCTCTCTCTCTTTCTCTTTCCCTCTCCCTCTCTCTCTCTCTCTCTCTTTCTCCCTCTCTCTCTTTCTCTTTCCCTCTCTCTCTCTCTCTCTTTCTCTTTTTCTCTTTCTTTCTCTTTCTCTTTCTCTCTCTCTCTCTCTCTCTCTTTCTCTTTCTCCGACACAACAACTCACCTTTGAATTATTTTCAACTTGTCGTAATTTTTCGTGTCTTTTCGAAACGACGCACGAAATTCTCGCATAAACATACAACATGACGATCAAAGGTATGAAAAACGAACCCATCGCACTGAATATGACGTAACCTTCATTTTGATTGTACCTGCATTGTTTATCTTTATGATGATTGACATCGTACCTGAAATTTCAACATTAATTAA